CAGCTTGGAAGCTAATCACCTGTCAGCCTTGGATCAGCAGCTTACGCTCTGCTGGTAAAATGCAGAAATTCTGCCCATCCGTATCATTCTCTTACCTTTGGCAAGACACTCCTTCTCCCAGGCTGCTTCCTGAAGTGGTGGTGGCGTTATCAAAATGATCCTGTCTTCAGTAATGTCTACTGACTTCAGATACTGTATCATACTCTTTAAGTTTGCAGCATATTCCTCCAAAGGAACGTGTTGCTTAGGGTTCAGGTCTGTTAGGGGATGGAGCACATGCATGAGCCATGCTAAGCTGCTGACAGATTTGTTACACGATGTAACATGCTTTTTACACAGCGAATGAATGTGGGCACTCATTTTCAGGAAGCAGTTCACCTCGACCATTGATTGATTCAGGAGGGGTGGTAGGAAAATGCCATTCCTCAATATTCGAAGATTTTTAACACAGCACTTCCAACTAGCACAAAAAAGGGACATAAGGAAAAAAGAAACATCACCTTTCTTTTTTTAAAGATGCTTTTTCTTACAACTCCTTATCTTAGTAATAGATCACATAATCACCTCAGACCTCACCTGAAAAAAAAAACCTAAAGATTTTTAATTCTCTTGGATGCAGAGAAAATTCTGGAAATTCCCATGGACATACAGTCAGTCCTTTGTGCGCTGACGTTACCATTTTGATTAGACTAGCTCTGTGTGCTGCTAGGCTTGTCTTAACGAGAATCCAAATGCTACCTTTCCTCATTTCCTCAACCCATCTGCCAAGAACTCATCAGGCTGCTTTAAAGGCACAAAAATCAGCCAGATGACCAACTCTAATTTTAGGTGATGGATATACAACTAATTCTTGAGCACCTTGAAATTTACTTTTAATATTAAAACTTGGAGAGAGGGGGAGAAATAGAAGGCATTGCATGATTTAAATACAAATAATATGACTGAACACAGTCCACTAAAAATGAAAAGGTGGCAACTGGTTCATAGAGAAGCAGTAGGAAAAGCCTGTGTAATGTTCTGCCTTTTCTGCTGTAAAACTGTAAAACTGTCTTAAGAGAACAGGTCATGCAGAAAAAAAAAAGCAAGCTACTGTACCTTTCAAAGCACTGTCATTAGCTCCAAAGAAAATAGTAACTGCAACAGTACGCTCAGCACCAGTACTTTTGGTGATCAGTCTTGGAAGGATCAGTTTAGCCCACCGGGTGTTGTACCCTGAGAGCCCACGGTTCACAACATCACATTTTCTGAAACAGACACACATATCAAAACAAACATCTCTCCTTTGCCTTCCAACAAAACTTGGGAAGTTCTGAACCATTCCATCAGGATATCTGCCTCGGTCCCTCTCAGAAACAAGATGATGTCACAGGAGTTTTCAGTGGATTATAACTTTATGTTTTGAAAGTGCACACACAAATTGCATGTGTAGCAATACCTGTCACTTGGACCATGAAACCAGAACAACAATCTTGACCATCACTAAGGATTTTTTTCTTTAAACTCAAGCTCTGAGTGAAAGAAACACCCAGCGAGTATATTCCACCAGTACTCGGCAAGTTATCACTAAGGCAGGACCACTTCAATAAATAAATAAATGTTAATAAATAAACATACGTTAACTATTAAATTGTGTTGGTTTTCTTTTCTAAAAGCTGCATGACTTCTTGCATGCTGAAAAGTACTTTGGAGATTCAAGCTCTTACCTGACCAGTCTCTCAGCAAGGGATGCGCCCCAGCCATTTTCCTGGAAGGAGAACTGAAAGCAAGAAAAATAGTTAGACCCCCACTGGAAGAACTCGCTTCCCAGCAAGTCAGCCCCACCACCAGCACCTTCCCTCCTCAAAAGCTTTTCGTCCATGGCCTCTGGCACTGCTGCAGCAGCACTGCCTCCCTCCCAGCCTGCCCTGTCCCTGCTGAGGTCAAACAGCCTTAGTCTTACCTAAACACACAACTGGCAGCAGAGGCAACATGGGACCGTACCTACAGAGGGACGGACCCTGTGGCCCTTTTGGAATCAAACCTGGCTGCTGTCAGGCCATAGTTTCATTTTGGCTGATGAGGAGTTTTGTTGGTTTTTTTTCCTCCCTACTTTATTTCTAAGATCCTTTCACTGTGCCATCATTCTGGAGAGCACCTCTCAAAAATCCTCTCTCCACACGCTGCTTTGGAGTGGTTTGATACCCACCCCTTCCTCCTAGTAGTGGAAAAACGAATCCCTTCTTATTCCCTGTGCTGCACCACTCTCCCTGTCACACTGCTGCACAGCAAGTCCGTTCAGACAACCCATCTCCCATTAAAGAAAACCTTCGTCTTGTGCCAAATCTTTCTTTAAGAGAGCAGCTCTGTGACCTACTCCACCATGCAACTGAAGGCAGCAGCCCAAAATGAAGACAAAAAAGCTGGTGATGTTCACCAAGCCATGGTCTGGTCACACTGACAGAGCGGGTGTCTGTGGGGTGGGCGAGCGTGATGCAGGAGCCGGGACAGGGAGGAGTGCGGGGGTCAGTACAGACAACAGGCTGTCCTGTCCTCCCTGTCTGCAAAACACCACTGCCACCGAAATACCAGAAGCTGCACTTTTACCAGATCACCTTTAAGATCACCAGATCAGCTGCACTTTTTTTTCATAAGGGCAGTTAATGACAAAACAAGGGGAAATGGGTTTAAGCTGAAAGAGGGGAGGTTTAGATTAGATATTAGGAAGAAGTTCTTCACTGTGAGGGTGGTCAGACACTGGAACAGGTTGCCCAAGGAAGCTGTGGATGCCCCCTCCCTGGAAGTGTTCAAGGCCAGGCTGGATGAGGCTTTGAGCAACCTGGTCTAGTGGAAGGTGTCCCTGCTGATGGCAGGGGGGTTGGAACTGGATGAGCTTTAAGGTCCCTTCCAATCCAAACCATTCTATGATTCTATCACACTTCTAACCTAGGAACTTTAGGAATTTCTGCAAAAAAGGCTCTAAATCTCATGGAACACCATCAGGTGTGAAAGCTCCTGGGTCACTCTGGTGGGAGATCCATCACGGACATACCTACGCGGGGCCGCACTCCCACTTCACTGGTCCCCTTCCCGCCTGACGGTGCCAGGC